TGTATCTCAATTGTGTGCTACCCTTATTTCTAATTCACTCTGCCCAACCAGAGTTCTTTTCTGTGGCCTAGTCAAAGATCCAGTTTTCCCTTCTTTCCTTCCTCCCTCCTTTCCTCCCTCCCTCCCTCCCTTCCTTCTTTCTTTGAGACAGGATCTCACTATGTAATCTTGGCTGGACTGGAACTCACTACATAGACCAGGCTGGCCTGGACTCACAGAGATCCACTGCCTCTGCCTCCTGAGTGCTGGGATTAAAGGTGAGCACCACCACACCTGGCCTTAGTTTTTCAAAATTATTTTAGAGGTAACTGATAGCTCGTTTAAGGGTCAGACTTGGTAGGCTGACCTGGTTCCAGTGGATGGACTCATACCGAAGGGCATTTGGGGACACAAGTTTGAATATATATATATATATGGAGAGAGAGAGAGAACATGAAATTAGCAGGGGGTAGTAGGGGGTGCAGATGGGAGAGGGGATCTAAATTTGATCAAAACACATTGCATGAAATTTGCAAAAATTCAATAAAAATAAATTTAAAAAAACAAAAAGGATTAGAGAATAGAGAAGAAAACAAACAAAAAACAAACAAAAACCCTACAAAATGTCCTTTGGTTCTCCTCAGTTCTTTTAGCTCTGTGCCTCAGGGGGTGGGGGGTGACAGACAGAGACTCTAGGAATAGGGAAGTGGTCCTTTCAGCATTGCCTAGCCCTCCTGGGAACCTGATGTCTCACAAGCTCTAGGAAAACAAAATTGGCACCCTTGGGGGCCTGCATCCCTGAGGGCCTGCATCTTTTGGGATCTGCATCCCTGGTGGTCTGCATCCCTGGGGATCTGCATCTCTGGAGGTCTGCATCACTGGGGGGTTTGCATGCTTGTATCCCTGGTAGTCTGGTCCCTAGGGGCCTGCATCTCTGGTGGTATGCACATTGGGCTCTGGAAGATACCAGGTGTGAAGTAGGAAGTGGGAGTTGCTAGCATGGCAGCTTGATCCCTCTGCTCTGAGTGGCTAATTCCATGGCTCTGGTTAATTGTGTGCTCTCAGGCCAGCCCTCTTGCAGACCTATGGCTTGCTTGAGAGTTTGGCTGTCCTCGGGTCGAATGCTAGCAACAATCTAGTAACTGGTATCAGTATGAGGACTTATGTTAAGGGACTCCAAGAAGAGTCATAATACAGAAGAACTGAAAGCTCCCTGCCCACCCTTCTACCTGCCCTCCTGGGCTCTAGGGCTCCTCTGAAGCCCAGCACTTCACCAAGGCCTTCTAGATTACCACTGTCAAGTGCACTGAGCATTTTGTTTCTGTAACTTAGAACACATCTTATATTTCCTTGAACCTGTTATTGGGCTTATTTCTCTAATACATGGAAAGTCCCTTAATCAAAAAGGCTATGTCCCACTCACCTTTATACCTCTACTGCCTGGGCAGTGCTCAGCACTGAAGGTGCCATTAAGTGTGGGTTGAATGAAGAATTGAGTGAACTGAAGTCTGCACATGAGCACGACTTGTTCTGAACTCTGTTTAATATTGTCAGCCCTCGATGGTACTGAACATACTTGTTGGATCTTGGAGGCTGGTGGAGGTGGTCTCTGGGCAGATGGCCTTTCCTAAGTGTTTAGGACTTCTTGTCTAAGTGATAGGACTGTGTATGGATCCCCTTTCATTCCCTGAGGATCTCATGATATGAGTCTCATTAGGGGTAGGTGTTTCATAGGCACCATTGATGAATAAATGGCTCTAGGAAGGACCGAAACAAGGAATGACTGGGGCTCACCAGGCATGTGACTGATTATTCTGAAGACTAATGAATTTGCTGGTGCCTGGGTGCTACCCTGGGCCCTGGCTACCAAGCCACTGTGTCTCTGTTTCCTTCAGCCTCTCTACAGCCCATGCCAAGTGTCTTGCTGAGCAATGAGAAGCCATCACAGCTTTTGAGTGGAGATGTGGACCAGGATAGGCTCAAACTTGATGTTCCTTTGAAGGGTTGGCAGGCCAGGAATGGCTACCCCAGGAACTTCAGAGCTTTGGCCCTGGGGCCCCACCCCCTGGCTGCCAGTCCCTTGCTGGAATCAGAGGCCAGCAGTGTGGCCCGGGATACTATCCAGATCAAGGACAAACTCAAGAAGAGGCGGCTCTCAGAAGGCGTGGCGGCATCTTCTCAAGGTGAGCCCTGCCCACCTACTCACTCTGAGGCCAGGGACCCCAGGCCACCCAGGCTATGAGGATTAGCAGGTGTTCAGGCTTTCTGGGGTCTGCAGGGACTGGTTGGTTAGTGGATACTTGCTAAGGGGATGCTACTACGTGGGATAGGCAGGGGGTGGTGAGGATGAAGTTTAGCAGACATGCTAGAAGGGGGTCGTCTGTTCTTTTAGGCTAGGTAAGGAGTGTCAAGGCAGCTGCACCCCACATTAGCTGAAAAATAAGGGGGACCAGAATGATTGTTTGGCCCCTGTCATCTGCCTGGCCCTGGCTTGGCATTTTACTGAAATGGTGTTCTTGAGTCTTAGTGAATGTATTATTTCTTTCACATCTCTGACCAAAATATCCAACAGAAATCACTGAAGAGAGGAAAGATTTATTTGAGTTCACAGTTTCAGTTGGTATGGTGGGGAAGGAATGGTGGGATAGCTCAGTTCATGGCATTGGACACGTGCGTTTGGAGGCTGCTCACATCAAGGCAGGCCAGGAAGCTAAGCATAAGACTAGAACAAGGGGCTGGGCTCTAACCTTCAAAGACCTGTCCCTAGCAACCCACTCCCTCCATCTTCTAGCTAGACTTCATCTCCTAAAACCTCCACAGTTTCCCCGAAACAGCGCTATCAGCTGGGGAACAAGTGCCCTAAACGTGAGCCTGCAGGGAGCATTTCTGAGTCAAAGCATAGTAGTGAACTCAGGAACACAGTGTTAGACTTGTCATGAGCCATACAGCTTCTCCCCGGTATTAGAACCTTCTATCCACTCTCATGACCTGGTGCTGATCTTGTCTTTTCACCTTTGATTGGCATTTCTACCAAATTCTATTGGAATAGAAAAGGACACTGAGTGCCCTCTCCTTGCTCAGTGTTCTAGTGAGGATTGGCTTGGGGCTAGGGGCAGAGTGCTCTCTGTTTATAGTCTCAGTCAGGACACAAGAGCCTGGGGGAGGCACAGGAATCCCTCTCCACTCCCCATGCTCCAGGCATTAACTCATTCCTCACCCCACCCTCAGCCTCTCTGGATCCTGGGGGAGGCCCCAAAGGAGTTCCTCTGAGGAGCACCATTCCCCGTACCACTTCGCAGAGGCTGCTGAGGGTACCCAGGCCGATGCCTCCCATCCAGAGCATCCCTACCACCCCTGAGGCCAACAGTGCCAAGGAGAAGGACCTGGACCCTCCTGGGAGCAGGCAGGATTCCCAGGACTCGAGAGCTGGTGCCCAGGAGGTAAGGAAGCTGCACAGCTGAGTCTTTCCTGAGGCTGTTCTTCTGTCTGTCTTTTCTTCCTTTACCAACCCCTGTCCCTGTGCCTTGTGCATCTCTGCAGGTGTCTCAGGACTACCCTCAAGGTCAGGGTGGCATTAAGAGATGCTCAAGGCTCTCATTTCATTTCTTCCCCCTACAGTGCCTCAGACCTTCCACAGCTGACCTGGGACTTCTCGGTGGCTCCCTCAGAAATTCAGGGGCTGCAAGACCATCTGTTCTAGAGTTGGTGGTCTCCAGGCCTTCCTGGTATTCATGTCTCAGAATCCCCCAGCTTTCTGGCCGCCTGTTTAAACCAGAGTTGGCAGAGGGAACAGAAGGCTGGGCTGGGCCTCAGATTTGGGTTCTGGTTTCTGCTCTGCCCCTCACTCCTGAATAACCTTGGACAAAACATTCCCTCTCCTTGGGCCCTATTTTGTGTATCTCTGCAAATAGAGGTGTGAATCACATAGTTTTGAGGGTCCCCTCCAGTTCTGATGTTCAAAGATTTTTCTGGTAGTCACGCACACAAAAATATCCAAACAATAATAAAAACAACAAAAAACCTTGCCAGTCTTTCCGCCTGGAGTGTTTGGGAAACAATGAACTTCCAGGAGGGATGGGACAGGTTCTGAATAAAAAGGGAAGCCAGAGGTTACTTCCCAGCACCCCTTCTCCTGCTGGCTCTTGGCAGAAGGAGACACCCTGTGTGAGGTTCCTGGGAGCTGAGCAGCCAGCTGGATGCTTCCCTGGACCAGAACCCCTTCTGCTCCCAGGTGCAGATTTCCCGGCAATACCTGCACTGCAATGATGAGGAGATGCACAAGTCTCTGGGAGGCATCGTGATCCCACCCATCCCGAAGGCCCGGGTGCCTACAGAGACCACGTCCTGTAGGCCTGGCTCCCTGTCCAGTCCCTTGGCTCCAGGCCAGGACATCCTTATTGGATCCAGGGCCCCACCTACACGGTAAGAGGCCGACATTAAGCCGCTTATACCTCTCCTATACCTCCTCACCCCGCAGACTCCTTAAGGCTGAATTGCTATGGCAGGCGCAGTTTCTTTTCTTTTCTTTTTTTTTTTCTGAAATTCTTTTAGAAACAAGGTCTCACTATGTAGCACCTGGCTGGCCTAGAACTTGTTATGCAGAACAGGCCGGCCTGAAATCTCTGCCTCCTGGATGCTGGGATTAAATGCATGTACCACTATGCCTGGCAATTTTCTATTTTCTTAATATGGTTGCTATAGTGATGAGTAAAATACAAATTATTTTAGGATGTGATTGAATTCATAGTAGATCTTTGTTATTATGTATTGTATAGCCTTTTAAAACATTTTATTATTTTAGTTTTACATGTATGAGTGTATTGCCTGCATGTAGGTAAGTACACCCATGTTGTGCAGTGCCCATGGAGATCAGAAGAGGGCATTGGCTCCCCTGGAACTGGAGTTATGGATGGTTGCTAGCATGTGGGTGTTGGGAATTGAACCCGAGTCTAGCAAGTTCTCTTAACCACTGAGCCATTTCTCCAGCCCCATATTATGTATTCTTAACTAATAGAGACTAAAAATACAACCATTTGTGTGTGTGTGTGTGTGTGTGTGTGTGTATGTGTGTGTGTAGTATGTAGGTTTTCCATAAAGCTTTTGGATTTAAAAAGGGATCTTCAAAAGCCAGGCATGGTGCCGCATGCCTGTAGTCCCAGCACTTGGGAGGCAGAGGCAGGCAGATCTCTGTGAGTTCAAGGCCAGACTGGTCTACATAGTGGACAGCTAGACAGCTGGGGCTACAGGGAGACCCTGCTTCAAAAAGACAAAAAAAAAAAAAAAAAAAGGGATCTTCATACACAGAAAAGATTGAGACTCAGTGGAGCAAGGCTCTGTGTTATAATGAATCTGCTTGTGAGGAGGACAGGAAGAGCTTTCTAAGTGGCTACCAGCATCCCATGGTCAGTCCAAATGGATGTCAGAGTGAATGTGCATAGATCTATAAGTATGTGAATGTGTTTGTTGTGTCTATGATATTTGTGCATGTGTATATATGTCTATATGTGCATGTCTGTGATCATGTTTGTATGTATGTGATAGATGTGGGTCTATGAAGGTATCTGTGAATGCATGTATGTATATGTGTATGTGTGTACACTCATGAACTATGGGCCTGGTTTACCTAGTGTGGTTGTCATTTCCTCATCCCTCTTTTTTTGGCCTAGATGTTAGGAACTCTCCCATTTTTCTCCAGCTTCCTCCCATCTCATGACTCTTGACTTTCTAAAATTTTTGGCTTGTGGATAGCCCTTGAATGTTTTTCCTTCCTCTCTTCCCTGACTTTATACCTGCATCTTAGCCTTCCAGTAGTCTCCAGTATACTCCCTGTCATCCCTCTCCTAAATCTGGCCATCCTTAAAATTCTTAGTTTTCTTCTCAAGATTTACTTGTGCCCCTGGCCTCCAGGACTGTGCGGGTGCGGGTGACTTTGTTCTTACTTGTGCCCCTGGCCTCCAGGACTGTGCGGGTGTGGGTGACTTTGTTCTTACTTGTGCCCTGGCCTCCAGGACTGTGCGGGTGTGGGTGACTTTGTTCTTACTTGTGCCCTGGCCTCCAGGACTGTACAGGTATGGGTGACTTTGTTCTTACTTGTGCCCCTGGCCTCTAGGACTGTGCGGGTGTGGGTGACTTTGTTCTTACTTGTGCCCTGGCCTCCAGGACTGTGTGGGTGTGGGTGACTTTGTTCTTACTTGGCATCTCCCTGGAGGCCCATGCTCTCACTGGGCACCTCTAGTTTCTCACTTGAAAAAAATAGGGTCTTACTATGTAGCTCTGCCTGACTATGTAGATCAGGCTGGCCTTGAACTCACAGAGATCACCTGTCCCTGCCTCCAGAGTGCTGGGATTAAAGGCGTGTTTGATATGATGCCCAACCCTTCCAGTTTCTCACTTCTGCATTAGAGAAAGAGGGGCCTGCACGTTGTCAGGGCCACACAGGGCACCTTCCCACTGGCTCCTTATTTCCACTGAGGTGCCGGCACTTGCCTGGGTCTTTAGATATTGGCATTGTCTTTGGTTCCTTGTGCCTCCTAGTCCTCACAGGTTGTCCCCAGGGGACGGGAGGGGTGGCATGGGGGGACGCCTTTTTTTTTTTAATTTTTACAAAAACTTTATTGAGAATTTCATACGTGCGTATAAGGTGTTATGATCAAATCCATGCCCACTCCCTCCCCTCCAACATTCCCCCCTCTGAAGAGGTAACCCTAAAATCTTTTAAGGATTAGAGAAAAGCTCCAAATGCTTTTGACGTTTTTGGCCTTGGAACAGAGTACGTTGCTAACAGGCCCAAGGACATTTTGACATTTAGCCAAGAAATTGGTTACATTTCTTTGGGGTCTTTTTACTCTAATGGCCTAGCCAATTCCTACCTACTAGTCTTATCATGCCATCCTCTGAAGGGGTTACCCAAATTGCCAGTAGGGAATAGGGATGCCGACCACTCTGGCTTCTTCCATGCTGAACAGGGACGCAGGGTGAGGCAATTGGAGTACCCCTTCAGTGGGTATATCTAAAGGACTCCCAAATTGCGTAACTCTTATCTTTAGGGGAAAAGAAAGTCCTTGAATCATGAATAGGAGATGTGAAGGAGAAGTAAAGGTAAGAGTAATTAGCATTATAAGTTCTATATAGGGAACTAGAAAAAAGTCAGAACAGGGCAGTTTTCAAATGTTCATATGAGAGTCCATTGGAATTTCTTGA